CATTAACTTCCTTTCCCCTGGGCCTCAGGTTTTTTAGCTTTTTCTCACAAATGCAAAACCCCTATCTTCCTCTGTGCCCACATTAAATGACCTGTCAACAGTCCTTCTCCACGCAGCAATCACCTGTCCGCCCTGACAACTTGTCACGGATGCAGTTAGTAATTTTGGCAGGGAATAAATCTTGTATGATCTTTCTTTCAGTGGGAATTTGGTACGTTAAATTGTCCCAGTGGGGTCCTCAGTCTGGTGAAGACATGAGCTCCTTGTACAATAACCATAAGAATAACAATAAGAAATTGGCCAGGACAATGAGCAGTGATTGACTTGCTGCATTGAAATGTGTCGTGCACTCACTGCGGGCTCCTGCCTCAAATATTCTGCTGCTGAGTTTTCTCTTCTGATATATGTTAATGTACTGAGACATGGATATTTTTCCTCTAAAGTCAGACCTGAAGTGAACCTCTGCTCTTCAAACTCTTACTTTATCCTCTGCCTGAGAGTGAATTTCTTTCTTGGTTTACCTCAACATATGCTGTGTTGCCTGTATGCAGTTCATTGTTATGTTTTTTTTGTTGGTTTTTTTTTATCAGTTTTTTACCTGCATGAATTTACATGTCACATTTTTCTCTTCAAAGACAAATGTGACAGAGACACTATGTTACTGAAATACAAGATGGTGTTTTATTATTCTAGTCTGGTAAGTAAACAGCTGTTAATGCTAATTTTGGCTATGTAGCAGTTGCAAAACTTAGAAATAGCTCCTTTGATTGACAGTGATTCATTAGCCACTTGCATGTACTTGTATTTACAGTAATATGAGTCTCTGAACTCTTAAATGCTTGTATACATGTAGTCCCAGTGTCATTATCGCTTGGTTATTATTCCGGCTAATATTTTGAAGTTGTACTGTTGGACAGTGATGAATAGAAAAACCTTTTTTAAAATACCATTTCATTTTTGACACATGTAAGACAATAATTCAGGATAAAATTTCAACTGATTCAGTCCTGAGTGGTGTTTTAGAGCAGGAACTTAACCAAAGCCTCGTTTAGCCACTAATTTTCTCTAAGTTGGCCTCAGCTCAGCTGAAGCTCATTGCTCTGGGCAACAGCAGTTCACTGCTCCCACAGTAACAACTATTCCTAATTGCTGCATTTCATTTAAAATGAATGACTGTCGGCGTCTTTTGCTGGACATGAATCTTTCAGTGTGAGTTACACCTCGGGCTGAATTTAAGTCTGAAACTGAAATATCTACGTCCAGACTTCAGAAGTGAAATCTAAATACCTTTGATATGTTTTGATGTCTCCCATTGTATTCTGTCTTTTGTGCACAATAGGCATGTCAAATGACAGTAAACATCATTTTTAGAACACACAAAACTTCCTCTATTTCATGTTTGCTAGTTTGCGCTTCCATCCTCTAAATCTTGTACATCTTTCTCCAAACAGATGAATCATTACAGTCGACCACAAATGTTCACACAGTAGCGGAGAAACTGAAGCCTTTAGTCAAAAATAAATTGTGTACTCTACTTGCGGCGTGCAGTGATGAGACCAATAGCCCGACTCTAAACTAGCTTTGAGATGGTGCCTTGCTGTGCTTTGAAAAGTTTCATGGTGTGCTCTTTGCTCGGCCTTTGATTACAGCCAGGAGAAGGATGCAGTGGGATGTTTGCAACACTGTTTGTGGGGATTGTTAATGCTTCCATTTCTGCTCAGGCTGCGAGACCCTTCCTGAAACAGTGAACTGTGGAATGGTTTTTAAAGTGCAGTGATCAGAAGCAGACACGTCTCAGCTAGGCCGTATACTTTACTGTGGCCTGCCTCATTGGTATTTGTCGATAGTAGAGAAGAACTGCTTTGATGCATACACTGAACATGGGAATGTTTTTGTATTTTTCGCTCAGAAATAAACTTTTTCCACTATTGCCGGGTAAAACATGTTGGAGAAGATATGTTCACACAGAGGTGGTGTTCTTAACTATTTAAACTTGTGATTTGTAGAACATGAAATTCACTTTTTGTGTAAATAAGTATAAAATATAATGATACTGCTGTTACTGGGCAGATTTTTCCATTTTCTAGTTTATTTTTGGTGTTGTTAGTTCAAACACTTTCTGAGCGTCAGGCGTCTGCGGTGGCGTTTCCAATGGTAGTGGTTGATAGACATCTGAGAGCAGGCATTGCCAATAGCCATATGGTATACGAACACTGACGTACGTGTTTTATCTTGTACGACAGGTCCATGTAGTGTTGATGATGTAGTGGAGTTGAAGTGATATCATGACCCATTTTTACTTTCTGCCCACAAAGATATTGCACCAATCAAACGAGAGCTACGCAACAACACCAACATTGTTGTCATTGTCGTCAACATTGGCGCAGCAGAAAGTAACACATTTTTCAAACTTGAATTTTCTATATATTTTTTTTTAAATGAACACATAATTTATTATGGTGATTTTTAATTTCATTACAGCTTTAGATGACCTATTTGTAACCCTAACTGCTACATCACTAATTCCTTTACTTACACATCTCCAGCGGTGGAAAGCAACGCCAGTGTTAACTCTTGTCTCTAGCACGTCTTTTCTTCTACTGAAGTTCGCATGCTAACTAGCAAGCTGCTAGCAGATGTTTGCGCTATCAACTCCAATATTCTGTATTGGATGTGGGCACGGACACATCTGATGGATCTGAGAAGTTACCATTTTGAGTCAATTATGTTCTGTTACTTAATAGTTTTACAGTTTTACAGTACAAGTAGTTTTAGAACCTCCACACAGGTAAGATGATGAATCCATGCTCAGTGTGCTGCCCCTTGGCAGACCTCTGGAAGTCCGTCCAATCAGAACAAAGTGGGCTTTTATGGGGCGGGGTCTTAAAAAGCCCAGAGCAAATATTGCCTGTTTCAGTCGGAGGCTCAACTGTGGAGTTGCATAACAGGCAGGATGAGGTAAATAAGGATTTTTTTTTTTTATCTGTGAATCATGCAAAGCTACTGAAGAAGACTCCCAGAAGAAAAATGTGGAGCTGGAAATGAGCATAATAGATTTAAGATTAAAGCACATGGATTTTGTTGGGATATCTGTTAGATATGGTTATATGGATTTCAGTATATACTTTTTATTCAGACCTCTACTGTGTTTCTGCTGTGTTAAGACCAGCCTATACCCCTCTGCCCTTTGTCCATGTCCCATTGTCCTACAAGCTCCACTGTTCAGACAGACAAACAGAGATCCTATTAAATCCTTAGCAGCTGCCACAACAAGACAAGGCCCAGTAAATTTTCACTGTTATTGCTCCTGGGAGAAAGTGACGGGGAAAATGCCGTGAGAAGAGAAACATTTTAGCAGAAAAAAAATTAATTTGTGTTGAGATGAACTGTCAAATTGCGTGTTGCAGGCAGATAGAGAACAAACAAAACCCTGGTTACTGTCTTATTTGTATCTCACACTGTAATTTGTCGGTGCCTCGCAGGGTCATTCTCATTCAAAACTGATTCAGCAAATGGAAATGGAGGGCGACCGACATTGACCTAACATTCTCAGAGCTTTTCCTGTTTTTTTGTTTTTTTGTTTTTTTTCTTCTTCTACTACAGATCAGCCTTACCTCAGGCGCTCTTACCTTCTACCTTTACCAATGCTCTCTGTGGCTGTCCAGAAATCCACCAACTGGTCTTTAATGAGCCTGGCTTGATGCCAGTAATGATCCTGGCTCTAGCCCCAAGAGAACGTCCCTCTGCATTAATCCCAGTTTTCCCCCAGCTCCATGTTACTAATGAGTCAATAATCGAGAGGCTGCATATTTGCTGTGGCAATATTCTCCTCACATGGTCGTCAATTGGCTAACCTGTTCTAAATGGTCAGTAACCTCGGGGCAGTACGAATGATGAGTTGTTGGAGCTGACAGTTCGGCTAGCAGGATATCCCGCTGGACAGATTCTCTCTTGTTGTTCTGATGGTTTCCTCATGGCAGACATCTAGTTTGATGAGTTTATTACCCTTCCTCAAATATTACTCCATCTACTGTGGGTGACAAAACAAATTAACCCCTGCTCATTGTGTTTAATCGATACAGAAACCCTTCAATAAATACAACCTTTGTTACTCCTAACAAGAACCTGTTTTTCTGAGCCTATGGTTTGTGCGCTTTTCCTGCATTGTATCCCTTGTTACCTTCGGACAAAGCGAGGCAGATTGTTTCCTCCTGTTTCCAGTCTCTATGCTGAGCTAAGCTAATTGTCTGCTGGCTGTAGCTTCATACTTTCCGTTATAAAAGTGGTATCAGTCTTGAATAAGCATATTTCCCATAATGTTCAACTGTTCCTTCAAAGATTCCTTACTAATCAATTTCATGTTATTTGTCAGGCCATTGATGATATATGATTTGCTCTTTAATGCAACATTATCACAGTTTAATTCTCTTCTATCAGTCAGGCCCCAAATTTAATCACCTTCCAAGCTTACAGTACTATATGTAGCGCAATTATTTATTGAGAGTAAAGTACTTTCTTGTTGTAATTAGATGCATAATTGCATCAAGGGAACTGGCTACTGCCTCTGGTTCCTGTTGATGATATTTTGCGCAGTTTGAGTTATACCTCTAATAAAACATTTAATTATTTCTATTTAGTGATTACCTATGAATTAAAGTTGTCATGTAATTTGCAAAAATTAATTGAATGTGTTTTGGTTGCGGTTTGGTGGACGTCTCATACAAAATAATGAAATAATAGGTAGTCAGTGGAAGTAGGGAATATATGCATATGCAAAATGCAAGGATATTTTTGTCAGTTATCGTACGTATGTGTGCATGCTGCAAAATGTTAATATGTAAACTGAAAACAAGTCTGAAAATAGAGAGTGTGAACTGATGGGTTTTTACTTATGGAATATGCTTTGCAAGATACGTAGGTCCTGTGATCTGATCCTGACAAAAACCAAAACCATGCCTCACAAAAGCTCTTTAAAAAAAAAAAAAAAAAAAAACACACAGGTGGACGACATCTTGGGTGAAGAGAGCGACAACGAGAGTGAAGGGCGAGGAAAGGAGAAGCCAGGCAATGAGGAGGCGGAAGATGAAGAGGAGGAGCGGCGGCGGCGGCGGCGGCAGCAGCAGCAGCAGCAGCAGCGGCAGCAGCAGCATCAGCACCAGCAGCATCAGCAGCGGCGGCATCAGCAGCAGCCAGGAGCTGGACAGATAGCAGCCGCAGGAGGACGCGGTCCTCAGGCGCTGAGCATGGAAGAGAGGCTTCACACACCAGCCAGCGAGGCCAGTCTGCCAAGTTGTGTGCTAAGGTGAGACACAGAGCTTCATGAGTAAATCCACCATTTTATTTTCTATATTCATTCCCTTTTCTTTTTTTTTTTGTGTTACCAATTTACTGCCCCTTTTTAAGTCTTGACTTAGCTACTGCTACTGTTTCTACGGCCCCTCTTGAGTAATATGTGCTCCATGGATACAATATAACTTCCTATGACATGTTTCCGTCATCAGTGTCTCAGTGTCATCAGTGTTAGCACTCTCCTCTTTCACTGTTGATCCTCTGCTCCTTGCACAAACTCCTCCAGGGTGAGAGGGGGTGTTTAAGTTAAATTACAGCGGGCAAGGATTGAGATCCATTGAGAATCTTTGCAAATGCGCTGCATATTTTCAGGTCTTTAGTCTCCAGTGAGCACAATCACAACGCGCCACTTCATCAGAGGGGCTATGGCTGAAGCCAGACGGCCTGGTCCGTTGCCATGGAGACAAATTCCAAACAGGCAGCAGGCAGTCAAAGAGTTCTGAACATATGAGAGTCTCTTGAGTCGAGCTGGTAGACTGCCAGATTCAGTCTCTGCTGACAGATCATTTTGTTATCTTTAACTATAGCAAAAACATATTGATTACCTGAAATAACAAATTTTCCATAAACACCATTTGGAATCTATTTCAGAATTTATTAAAAGTATTTCTGGATGTCTAAACAAAAACATGGAAATAGATCCCAGATCGCCCAGAATCCCAAAATACAATAAAATATAACATTACAGCCGCCTCTAGCTACATTTACTGTCAAATGGACAGTACAGACATCCCATAATCCTCTCACATGTTACTACTTGGGTGCACCATTGCAACTTTGCATAATAAAGTTAAAAAAAAAAACTGCCCGTTGGGATTTGGATATTGCCCTTGACCATATTGTGATTTCGATAATAATTTCAATTAATTGTTGAGCCCTAATTTCACATTAGTTTCTGTTGTGCAAAAAGACAAAAATACAAGTCAAACTTTTCCCAAACTGCCAAAAGTCTTACACACAAAAGACACAAGTCTCCCTTGTTATACTGAAAGTACCTCAAGAGAAATTTAAGCTTGTTCATGCGTTGAATTTGATTGACAGGTTGCTTGTCGAGCATCACCTGTTCTTTTCTCTTCTTCCCTGTCAAAGCTATATCCGCCTTTTACTAATAAGCAAGTCAGTTCGCCCTCTGAATGAATCTTAACCTGAATATTGATAGACTAATACACTTAAGCTGTGTCCAAAATCAAAATTTCCTCCTTTACTTTGCCTCATGTAATATGTTTATAGTAAATTTAGAAGAGTAAACACCTGACCTGTGTTTAATAAGTGAAAAAGATCTGTTCAACTTTGTTTCACAAGTTTCCATCCCCCTCCCAGTGCAGTGGTCAAACCCTAATGTTAGACCACTGCACCTCTTTTTCCAGACTTGGGTTTCCTGTCTGTTCAGCCTCACTGCTCTGCTCGTCTGAGCTTTGAAAAGGAGGTACCTTGTTTGGAGTGTTTCTTTTTGTTTGGTTTTTTTCTACACCTGCATTTACTCTCAAAAACACCTTTCTTTTGGCTGTGGCTCAGTATCCATGGCTGCCCATGCCTCAGCAAACAGAAGCATGATGAGTTCGTCCTCCCTCTCCTCTTTTGGACACGTCAGTCCATCTGTCACCTGGCCTGACACCTTTGGTTGCTGCTAATGAGTCAAACCTGAAATACACCATCCGCAGCGTTGTTTACTTGCTGCTGAAAACGTGGATGTCCGACTCCGGTCGGTGCAGCGGTGCAGGGGAGCGGCACACGATTAGACAGCTTGACACATAAGTGGAACAGAGTAAGTTGAATTCTGAAAGCAGTGTGCAGCGCTATCAGTTGGTCTTTAGGTCCTTCCATAGAGTATATATAATGATTGTCTTCTGTGACCGCTGTCCCTCTACCTCTGTCTCCCCTTTAGTTTTATATTTAATTTTTAATAACAGTAGTTCTCTGACAACTCCTTCTGGTTGTAAAGAATGTTTAAATCACAGTGGCTATGTTGTACTGTGGGAGGATGATGGCTACAGGCTAGTTAGTTTGATATGTTGTTAGCTTGTTTGTTGTTAAGATTTAACAGCGCTTGAAACCTATTTTGTAAAATTACACAATCATTTTTTGAAACAAGTGGTTACCTATCAATTTCTCACCTTCAAATGTCTAAAATGAAACACAAAGTTTTTAGTATTATTCCTTCAAGGAGAAGAGAGCATAAAAAACAGCTTTTCATGCTCACAAGAGAGAAAGAGTCTAAACATGATCTGAAACACTGGATCATACATTTAATTCTTTCAAACCCCACACTCCCAGTTTGTTATGCAGTTGTCCTGTTAAAGGTCCAATATTTTACACTTTTCATGTGTTTTGTTAGAAGTGTTGATCCATATGGATGGAGGATGCTCTGAGCCTCTCTTCTGATTGACTGACTGTTGATCGAATAAAAATTTAGCAGATTTCAGGTGAACACTCCAACCAAATCCTGCGAGGTTGGATGGTGGATCCAGGTGGGCGGGGCTTGGGGCATGGCTGAGATTGGTGACTGCTTTCTTGTGACATCACAAAGTTACAGAAGTCCAGACGGCTCATTTTAAGGCTCAGTTTCTGAATATGGGCTGTATTAATTTCTCTGTGGACTGAGCGCTTTGATACTTTCACAGTATAAATATAGAACCTAGATCTGCTTTATAATCAAAGGAGACATGGAAATCTACCTTTATACAATATGGGTACTTTAATATTTTTTTCCCAAACCCAAGGTATGATAACCCTGATGCCAAACTTTATTTCACAAACTCAGCAGCATAGCTCAAGTCACTTTTGCGTATTCAGGAGATTTCCGTACACATTTATCATCAATAAGACATTGTCAAACAAAACACTTTCATATAAAAACACATATTAAATGTCAAATATGAGAAGCATAATACTGTATAGTGAGAGCCTAACAGTGGGGATTATAATATACTGTATGTACTGTAACAAAGGTTATAAGGCCTGTTTGACATCCACCTCTAACTGTCTGCCAGACTGCACTAATTTAATTCTCCTGTCTGACAGAGGAAATAATTTGACTTTATTGTGGCCCAGTAGGCCATTAGAGACCATTTAAGATTTAGAGAAGAAGTCACATCGCTGCTTCCAGATTTAGATGTGACTCTGTGGGACCTCCACTCCTTCAGGAGCTGGCTTAATAGGTGCCACTCTGTTAGACTCTTTCCCTGGCTTCAGCCCTTTCTTATATTTGGCACAAAGTAAGACATACATCTGTTGCTAAGATACTGTAGTGATGTGAATCCGGTCATTCGGTATCTGCTCCTGCCTTTCTTTCTTGCTTTCCGTCTAAAGTAAAAACAACATTGCTCTTATTTCTTCATTCTATACCCATCCATTGAAATCCATTCAAAGCAAGCACTTTAAAATGCAGCCATATCCACACTCGCATGAATTTACTGGTTTATCTTGTATAAGTTTAGGATAAATGTAGGCAGCTAACTGCAGGCAAATAATGTCTTGTTTATTTTTTTGTTATATCATTTTTTCCCAGCTGAGATCCTTATGACTAAGAATTTACACCCACAGTGCCAGGTTAAAGCAAGTAACAATGGTTTATGAAGAAATGAAGCAGAACTGTGTGTCCCAAGGACCAATGTTTCCACTGTTTGCAAATCAAAATAATTAGCAAACGTCAGTCAAAGATGAGTTATTTTCCCTCACATTGTGAAAAGGATAAGCCATATTCACAGACAGTTCTTAGCTCCTTTATCATCATTGCACGGTCCTTTTGTAAGTCCCACAAATCTTTTCACTTGGATAATTACATTCTTAAAATCCAATAATGCATGATTGGCTTGCAAGAATCTGCACTGGACTGATTCCACTTCTTAAGCACTTTTTTTTTGTTTGTTTGCCAGTTTAAAGTACTTTAATTTGGTGAATCAGTTTTTCAGCTTGAAGCATTTGGCACACGTAGTAATCGACCTCCAGAAGCACAATAGGTCTTTAATTAATAGTCACACAGTAGATCAACGTTTACAGTTTCAGCAGAATTTCTTTCATCATTCTTTTAATGTCAAACTGAAGTTTTACTTAAGTGGACAGTGCCTCCAACATTTGTGTTTTCCAGGGGTCGTGATTTTTTTGGCGTGGACTGAATACTCTAATTTGATTGGTGCAATATCTGTGCACAAAAAAATGTTTGCAATATCAACTCATGTTCAAGTTTTTTTTGGCGTCGTTTGGTTCCAGCTGTGATCTGAGCGCTGCTTACGTTACTGTGTGACTGTGTACGTTATCCCTTGTTGTGAATTGAATCACAAGAGTAACGTACAAAGTGCTGGTGTTACAGGACGATCAGTCGCTGTGAGTCACTTACCTTCATTACAGCTGGACCAATGGAAGAAAGACAGCTAGTGCTAGTTAGACCCTCCTCTTCTGTGTAATGCAATAGCTGTTGAAATTACATGAATGAAAAGAGGGTCTAGTGGGAATCAGCGCTAACGTTAGCAAGCTAGGCCAACTAGCTAACTAACTAATTGAACACAAACTAAACTGGATTCTCCCAAATGACAAATCTCACACATGGGTTAAACCATTAAGTGGTTGATAGCTAATGCTACAGTATCTGGACAGTTTCTTGTATCAGCAGCCATAGGATTTACCGTACTACCAATCTCTTAATCATCTTCACTCATGTGTTAAGTTGTGGATATTGAAGATTTAATAAATATTTTCACTCTGTAATCAGAATTCTTTCAATTACCCCTTTTTATTTCTCCCTGACTCTATGTTGAAGCCCTTCTCCTTATCATCTTTGATATGAAGGACTTTCTCACTGTTCTGGATGCCTTTTGAGAAGATACATGAAGATGCTCTGTTGTACCCCACAAAGCTCCCCTTGCATGACTGCCATATAAAAACAGTTCGTACATGTGGGAATTAGTATGATACAGGGCAGAGTCATGGCCTATGCGTTTCCAGCATAAGCCCATC